TGCATAGACGGAACTATGGTATTCCCAGTAGTAACATACTGATGTGAGTGTTGGACTATATAGAAGGCTGAGCGTCAGAGAATTGATGCCATTGAACTGTGGTGTTGGCGAAAACTGCTTTGAATCCCTTGGATTGTGAGAAGATCCAATAAATCTGTACTACAGGAAATCAAGACAAACTGTTCACTGGAAGCTATGATCATGAGGCTGTAGCTGAAATATTTTGGCCATATAATGAGAAAGCCAGATTCGCTAGAGAAGACTCTGATGTTGGGAAAGATTAAAGGCACACAAAGAAGGGGACGATAGAGACGGAGATGGATAGATGAGGTCACTGAAGCCACGAACATGAAGTTGCTGGAGCTCAGAGGGGCAGTGAATGACAGATGAACCTGGCGTGCTATGGTCCATATGGTCACGGAAAGTCAGACACAACTGAACGACTAAACACACACACACATTCATCATTACTATGTGAATATTGAAAGGGTGGGCAAACCAGTAAAATAGTGGGCTCTTTTCTTTCTCTTTTCTTTCTCCGTCCCTCTGCAATTTTTCTGCAACCGCAGTTACACACCTAAAATATCCTGCTCTGTTAATATATATTAATTTAAGGGTCTCCATGCCACCTCATTATATTATATTACTAGGGCCATACCTACCTACCTCTCCCCATATGTGTGGTCCTTTAAGTGGCAAATGGTGATGATACCACTTGTGGAGAAATTCAAAACAAAGAAAGACCTAGAGTGTGTTCTCGTGTCCCGCTGTGAATCATCCTTGGTCGGTGTGATAGCTAACCCAGCATTTGGGAATTATCCAACATGTAGAGACCACCAATACTTCAAAGATAAAATGTTATGACAAAATGCCTATGTTGGAAATTTTCCAATTCAGCTACATTGGCTTAGAAATTAAAAATCCAATTGTTAACTCAGCACCATCATATATTAATATAGAGTCTATTTAGAAGGAAGAAGGAATACATATGATATTTCTCTTGCGTTCAACAATGTGACATGGGTCATGAAAACAGTGCAACCATGCTAAAGAGTTACACATTTAACATACTCAGAACAAATATAACCATTAGCAGTTTGTTTTAAATATGTTTATTGTCAGCAATATAAGCACGGGTGTTGAACTTGGTAACATTCATGCATATAATTGCCTACGCAGAGGCGTGCACGTTGAAAGTGTATATAATGTGAGGCCGACATATTCCAGTTAACTCAGAGTAACACATAGTTGCCTGCGCAGAGGCGTATAAGTCAATATAAACATGCAATGACAAATATTAGACATTTATAAGCCTTGCAGAGCTAGACATGCAAAAGGTGGTGAGCTTGCTTGGTATTGCGTTGTTAGGGCGTTGTTGTCAGGTATGTAGTGGTTATTTGGGGTGGCAGTTGGTATCATGTGTTCAGCTATCGGCTCATTAAATGGTGTTAGTGTGGTTCGTTAATGATACACTGTATTCTTCTGAGATGCCTGTGTTTGCGTATTTATCCCTGTTGCCGTAAACTGCAGTGAAGGCCCATCTTGCGAAAGTGAGTTGGTGTTTACGCGTTCTGATCTTTTGTCTGTAGCCCTGAGTTCTAGTGTGTCTCGTGGCTACCCGCTCGTGCATATTGGGGTTGTATTTGTTTTGTGTGTTTCGTGTCCTTCCCCTCTACTGGTGATGGTGAAACCTTCTGCGGTAAGTCTGTGTCACCTCTATTGCGTGTTTCCATGGTTATGTCTATGTAGTGTTGCTTTATTCTGGAGCTCTGTGTGTCTGCCTCTATTGTTGCGTCTTTGTGGTTCCGGTTTGTGTGTCTGAGTCACTGTCTGTGTGTCTTGGTGACGTCGCGTTGAGGTGGGTTCACCTGTGTGCGTGGATGTGGTGTTGTTCTGTGGGTTTTGCCATTAGCAGTTTGGTAGTATTGAAGATAGCGGGTGAATGTTCTCTTTTATTGCAAGTTAATGGAAGATTTCATGTTTTCTGGTAGATTTTTCCACAGCTGAAGAGCTCTGTATGAGAAGGCTGCATTACTTGCTTCCTTATTGTAATGGAGGAGAGAGAACGAGGTAATGGAACCTTAAATTATAGTGGCTGTGGGGAGTGAGGCTGACAATGGTTCTTTGTAGCACATAAGTTCATCACATGAAATTTGTTCCCAAACACAGTGAAAAAATTCCAGTGTATTTAAGAACAAACTTAAGCTCAAAGAGGAACAGAGGCGGCTCTAGACTTTATGAGGCCTTAGGCGAAACTCAAACATGAGGCCCCACTAACAAAAAAGTGTCACATATACACATTGATGCACAGTTTACCTGTGTATGTGCCTGAGAGTGTGTCTGACAGAGAGTATCGTTTTGTGTAAATGTATATCTCTGTGAGCATGTTTGTGTTTTTGTCTGAGGCCCTATGTGTATGGGGTAGCTGCTTGAAGTGTGTTGTGTGTATGGGGGGTGATGGTGAGAGGGAGAGGCGGATGATGGTGAGAGGGGGTAATGGTGACAGGGAGGTGATGTTGTGGGGGGTGATGTGAGAGGGCTGATGGTGTGGGGGTTGATGTGAGAGCGGTGATGGTGAGAGGGAGAGGGAGGTGATGGTAATGCGAGAGGGAGGGGGTAATGTAAGAGGGGAGTGGGGGGTGATGTGGAGAGGGAAAGAATTTATATATATGACGGAGAAGGAGGGGGGTACGGAGAAGGAGGGGGGTGGATGTGAGAAGGGGGGTGATGTGGAGAAGAGGAGGATGATGGAGAAGGAGGGAGGTGATGGAGAAGAAGGGCGGTTGATGGTGAGGGAGGAAGGTTGATAGTGAGGGAGGGGGGGTTGATGCTGATGTTGAGGATGAAGAAGGCAGCTGATGGTGAGGCAGGGTGGTTGATGGTGAGGGAGGGCTGCTTGATGGTGTAGGAGGGCGGTTGATGGTGGGGGGTTGATGGTGAAGGGGGTGATGGTGAGGGGGGGCGACCTTGAGGGGTGCGAGGGTCGTGGGGGTAATTGAAGGGGTGGGGGGGTGATGCTGAGGGTGATGCTGGAGGGTGGTGATGCTGAGGGTGGTGGGGGGGCTGAGGGTGGTGGGGGAGGGTGATGCTGAGGAGGGTGGGGGGTGATGCTGAGGGGTGATGAGGGGGTGATGCTGAGGGTGGCGAGGGGGCATGCTGACGGTGGTGGGGGTGATGTGAGGGTGATGGGGAGGGTGATGCTGAGGGTGGTGGGGGGGTGATGATGAGGGGGGTGATGCTGAGGGTGGTGAAGGTGGTGAGGCTGAGGGTGGTGATGCTGAGGGTGGTGAGGGACGGTGATGCTAAGGGTGGGGGGTGAAGCTGAGGGTGGTGAGGGGTAATGCTGAGGGTGGGTGATGCTGAAGGTGGGTGGGGGGGTGATGCTGATGGTTAAAACATCTTTAATCTATATTTTATTGCTTATTGTGATGAGACCAATCTCGCCACTGTGCATTGGAGGAGCCTTGTTGCCCGCCTGCTGCCTTTAGACTATGGCCCCATGTTGAAACGCTTGATTTTCCCCTGCAAAGACACGAAAGCGGGTCATTCGGTACTGGCCCTATTTGAACAGTGATACTCCAGTTAGCTATGCCATGGAGCCAATTCGTATAGCGAAAGACTATGTGAAAGACTTTGGCTCCATGGCAATTGAACTGTATGTATGTGATCTGAGCGCCATTCAGTAAAATTGTGCACTCAGATCTAAGCTATCTGGGGATATGTTGAATGTACCTGTTTTATGCAATAGCTGCACAGTTATATATTTTTATGTATTTTATTGTCTTTTGCTGCCATGTGTTCAGTGGAGTTTTGCCTATGTCTTTGGAGATAATTGGATTACTTCCCAATTATCTCCAGGATAGAAGACTCCGTGGAACTGGTTTTGGGCAGAAAAGCCATGCTTCATTTGGTTACAAAGGACTTTGATCTATCTTTTGAACCAATGAACCAATTTGGATGATATTGACATATGTTTGTATTTGGAGTATGCTGATTCTGAAAATGTAAGTTATGTGAAAGTGATGCATACTTTTAAAGTTATGAATAATGTGGAAAAACTGTATTTCTCTGCCTGTGATAATTACATTAACACATTGTGTAAGGTAATTGTATCACAGGCAGAGGGGAGTATTTTGTGTGGGAATGTCTGAGTGTATTGTATGTGTTTATTGGTTGTTTTACAAAACCCTGTGGGTGGTACTAATGTGTAAGAATGTGTATATAAGAACAATAAACCCACAGCTCTGTCTGTTCCTGCTTGACCCTCAAAACGGAGCCTTGTCTCGTACTTGGGGGGATTTATGGTATGCTGTTCCAGTTTGACTGCTAGGAGTGTAAACCTATTCGTATGGTTTTTCCTATTCCGCTGTTTACAGCATTCGTATGGTTCTGGTTCAGCTGTTTACGGCATTCATATGCTTCTCTGGTTCGGTGGATTGGTGTCTACAGTAGCTGCCTGTATATCTGGAAGGGAATATCTCCTAAACGGCTGTTAACCCCTTTTATGCCTGGGGGTGCCGTTACACCTATATATGCAATAATTGTAATAATAATATCAAAGTATTTACGACAACAAGGAATGATTGACAGAGGAAAACATGGTGATATGTAGCATATATGTTATATTTACATTATATTTACACAACATTTCAGAAATTCAGATTGAAACAAATCTATATTTGTTCTGTATTACATTTCGGGTATATAGCAATATTATTTTTACATAATAGGATTTCCTTTTTTTTCTCCCAAAGTGTTCCTATTTAGGAGGGACAGTCCCTATTTTGGTCTCGGATCCCTCTTTCTCTCTCTTCTATGAGCTCAATGTTGTTGTTGTGTCTGAGCATGTAACACTACTCCCAGTAATATGTCTTTAAACTACAATAAATGTGTTTAGAAATCAGTCTGTGTAAATAAGACACATTGTTCTTTTTTTATTTATTTTTTTTATTCTTTTATTTATTCCTGGACAAACATCAATGCCACATCTATTGCAAAGCATTTGGTTCAATACAAAAGCAAAGGTTAACATTTGCTTAGCCACTGTATACATTTGCATCTGGCCGTCTAGGACATATCTCGTGGTGGTGCTACCTCCCTCTCGTTAACTCATAGATATCTCGTTATGTTCATGCACTGGATCCACTTGTGCGCCCAGTGGATCCGTTCGTCTTTGTTTTTGTTTTTTTTGGGGGGGGGGGTCAGTAATAACCATAACTTTATAACTGTGTGCCTGTCTCATAGCATAGTTTGCGTACTGTATAGAACATATATAACCCTTATATCCTACTTATATGTTCATACCGTGTGTGTCGTGCTTACTTTGGTTATATCCATTAGCTTGGGACCCATTGCTATTTAGGCTAGTCGCTATGCTATGCCCTAGACCATCCATATAGCTTCCCTGTCTATAGTCCGTATGCTTCTGTCCGTGTTTGCAGGTGTTTACATGCAAGTCTTGGTATAGTTATTTCGGGTCAGGGCCCCTTCCCTCGTCCATTTTTTGTCTTGACTCGCCAGGGTCCATTTAGGTTGCTGGAGTGTATGGATAGTATCCTTGTACCACCCTGTCCATGTGTTCAAGGGATAGAGGGCCTTAGAAGGGAAAGAAAGGTATAGGTGGAGAAAGAAAGAGAAGATGGGGGGGAAAAGTGGGGGTATATGCGACGGTTCAGCGCGGCCTGCTATTATTTAGTGTACATATCTTTCTCAAGGGCTGGATAGGATATAGCTGTGCCTGGGCTCCCACAGTCTATCGAATTTAGATGTGGTCCCTCTCAATCTGGCCGTCAGGCTATCCATTAAGTGTACCTCCTTTATGTTACCTATCACTCTCTGTATGGGGGGCATGTCCGCCTGCAACCATGTTTGTGCCATCGTTCTCCTTGCGGCTAGTGCGATCTTATGGATCAATTTTTGTTCCTCCCTAGTCCAGTCGTCTATGCGTTTGTTCAGAAGGTATGTCCATGGGTTTAGGTCGGGTGCTCTGTGGAAAATTCAATTTACCATTTTGTGTATTTTTGTCCAGAATGCTTGAACTTTAGGACATTCCCACCACATGTGTATATATGTACCTCTGTGTCCGCAACCCCTCCAACAGTCTTCTGTAGTTGTTTGTCGCATGCGATATAGTTTGACCGGTGTGGTGTACCATCTAAACATCATTTTGTAGGATTGCTCCTGTAGCGTTACGCAGATGGATACGGTATGATTTGCCTCCCAAATGTCCCTCCATTCTTTTCCCTCCAGTACCTCGCCCAGGTCTCTTTCCCATGCCTCAGTGCTCCCCACTCCTTTGTTTCTGAACACAAGTGTGTGTACATCGTGGTTATTAAGCCCTTCCGAGTGGATTCGTTATGGCACATTCTTTCAAAAAATGTCAGAGGACCTATTACCGCCTGTTGCACGAGTGGCTGCTCGACATAGTCTCGTATCTGTATATATCTGAAAAAGTCAGTGGGGGTGAGGTGTGTTATCTGTTGGAGTTGGTCAAAGGGGATTAGTTTCTTATGTTCATACATGTGACAAATCCTCTGTAGAACAGCTTTTTCCAAGTTTGCAAATTCCCTGTCTGCTATACCTGGTGGGAATGCCCTATTTCTCAGAAAGGGGGACAGTGTTGATGTCAGATTGTACTTGTGTGCGTAAGCATCCCAAAGTCTCAGGGAATTTAAGATAGCCGTGCATGTCATTCTCAGGATTGGCCTATCTTCTCTGCGCACCCACATGTCATACTGTGGCAGGTCAGCCTCTGTCATGAGGGATTCTAGGTCCACCCATCTCCTCACCTCTAAAGGCACGTGCCACATCGCGACTTGTGCCAACTGCGCCGCTAGGTAATAGAAGTAGAGGTGTGGCAGGCCCAACCCCCCTTTGCTTCTGTCTATATGAAATGTTCCTGGAAATTCTATGGCGGTGGTTTTGCCATATGAAGTCGCCTATAGCTTTTTGTAGGTGCACATTGTTCTTTTTAAATTAAATTTTAGTTGCATATGTTATTAATAAGTCAACAAATGTTTTCTAACCTGACCACCCCTGGTCACAGTCTTACTCATACCCCTAAAATGAAATTGTCCCTTTTTGTTCATTAAAAAAGTTGCCAGGCATGCAAATCCCTGCTATAAATTGCTAGAAATTAGCATCCCACAGAAATAGCACATATAACAGAAATCATTATATTTTTCTTTGCACTTTTTTAGATGGTCAATGATTATGATTTCATGAACAATGTTATATTTGTCTGGGCATATCCTGGGTATTAACTTTTTTTTATAAGATAGTGAGTGAGATAAAGAAATAAATGTCAGTTTATGCTTTGATTACACACATGAATACATTGCCCAGATTTTAAGAGGCCTTACAAAGGTTCAATTAACATTTTATATCATGCTGCCATCTAATGGACACTTGGGGTATTACATTTAGTTTTGCCAATTGTTCTTCAAAAGATATTGCTGCTAATACAAACTGCAGTAACAATCCCCAGAGTCTTGTGGAATGTGACAATCTTTAGTAAGTCACATGTCTAAGGAACTGTTTACTCAACAATTCAGGATAATTTATTTCCAGTTTTATTATTGTGGCCTCTATTTTGCAACCACTCCCTACTACTAAATTTAGATCTTTCTCTAAATGGATCTGAATGAAGGTATCTTGAAAAATCTTGTTCTCTCTGACTGTTCTCCAGGTCCAATGGGTTAATATTGAGAAGGAGAATAGTTAAATCCTGATGAAATTCGTTTGCTTGTCTGATATACAGAAGATCATGTTTCTTCTTTGACACCTTCTTCATAACAGGTCTCTGAACAAAGCTTTTGAAGATATTGGCCTTAAAGACAGAAACAAACAAACGGAAATTCAAAAACAGAAAACAAAACAAGGGACACACCAGGGGTGTCAGTTTATTTCACACAGACATGTACAACATTTTCTCATGAGCTGGTGGCCTAAAGATGACTAATGCAATAAAATACTTGCATTAAGAATGTTGTGCATTCTGTGGAACACACTAAGTAGCATTGGAAATGCTTAATATATCAGCTGAGTTACTCATCTGGTCTAAAAGATAATGTCCTGAACCTTTTAAATGAGTTTGCCCTTCGACTCAATAATCCCTTTCAAATTTTTAGTTATCTGAGCATCATGGGAAATTGTGTTAATCAGCATCTACAGTGCCATCGATTCATTTCCTTGGGGGTAAATCTGCACCTTTGATGGCCAATCTTTTTATCTACTATCTACAACAGACAATTCTGACGGAATGGCTGAAAATATCCAAGTGGTTTTACCGTATTAATCCCATTTTGGTTGGCTTGTTCACGGCAAACATCTCTCAAACGCTGCTGAGTTTTTTCCTGCAGGATCCTCCACAAGTCCTCTGCGCTTGGTGAATCTAACGTAAACAAATTATACTGGAGACTCAATGGTTTCATTAAACAAATGAATCACAAACTAATGCATCAATGACCTTGTTGTGGTTATTTTCTAGAGTGTGATTTCATAGTAAATTCAAGGAGAATTTCAAACATTGGGCCAAAGGATCGGATCTAAACAAATAGTTGACTTGAAGACCTTTTCCAATTCTGCTATTTTGGCGAAAAATTTTAATTAATAACCTTGATGATTTATTTTTTCATTAAATGGACATGTTCTCTCTTTTTTATGTCTATGTCCTAAAATTATAGTTATTTTACATGCAGACATGTAAAGACATGTAAAGTTATTTTACATGCAGACATGCATTCATATTCCTCCAGTGTATTAATATTGTTTATATTTGTAAAGGAACACTCAATACATCTAAAGCAGTCCAGCTTGCTGAAGTACAGTATATACTCGAGTATAAGTCTAGTTTTTCAGCACATTTTTTGTGTTTAAAAACCCCCACTCGACTTATACTCGAGTCACTGTCTGTATTATGGCAACTTAGAGAGCCGCGGCCGTCAGAGCCATCGCAACGATCCGCGCGGCAACCAGACCGCGAGACTTATAGTGGAGCTGACCAGAACGGAGGAGAAGGGAGCTGACAGGAGCTGCAGGAAAGGTAAGTAAATGCTTCCTGCCGGCCACCCCACTTCACAGCCGAGGCCACTGGACCACCAGGGATTAAGATAGCCCCCCTCCCTGACCAGTTAACAAGCAGGGAGGGGGGGACAAAAAAAAATTAAAATAGTAAAAATGCCCTCCCCCCACCCAGTTCACACACACTACACAAACACACACTCTGCATTATATACACACTCTGCATTATATACACAGAGTGTGTGTATATAATGCAGAGTGTGTGTTTGTATGAGTGTGTGTGTGTATATAATGCAGAGTGTGTGTTTGTATAAGTGTGTGTGTATATAATGCAGAGTGTGTGTTTGTATGAGTGTGTGTGTATATAATTATAAAAATCACAGAATTTCATAGCCCCAAGTTTTACCCTCGACTTATCCACGAGGCATAGCATATTTCACAATTGTTGGTCACAAAACTGCACTCGACTTATACACGAGATCGACTTATACACGAGTATATACGGTATATGAGTGTGTCCTGTTTTTTTTGTTGTTTTTTTTTTTACAAAAAGTGCACTTTTCGATAGAAATAAGCACATTTTTAAATTGAACTTTTTACATCCTCTAGCTGTCATCCAGAAAACTGGTCCTGCTACGTCCTGGTTGTTTAGTTCAGAGAAGCTAAACTCGAGAGGCAGCTAATTGCCCAGAACACGTGCCATGCAAAGACTTTTCATTGAGATACATTGGAAAGTCTGTGATTGGACAGCCACAGAATGTCTGGGCTTGGGAGGAAGTGGAGGGCCTGCAATGGCTACAGACAAGAGTTCAGCAGCTTTTGCAAGCTGTTTTTAAATATAAATGCATAATTAATGTTTACATGTTTTCATTGGTGTATATCTGCTAAATACTTAAAAATATAAAAATGTATTTCCCATTGGAATGTTTTTTAAAAGACTAACATGTGTTGCAGTGCTGCAAAATAAATATGTAGAAAAATGTAACAAAATAAATTTGTTAACAAGGCATTTTTCCACTGCTGCTAATTTCTCATAATCACTTCAATATTCTATTATACATAGTGCTAAAATATTATACAGAGTGCTAAATATATATATATATATAGGTAAGTGAATAGAGCTTTTATTGCAGCAATCAAATATTAATAATAAGACATAATTTGATTGCTACAATAAAAACACTATTCACTTACCTATATATATATATTTAGAAAGAGTGCTTTCTTCATTGAAAATTAAATATATATATATACCAATTAGAAAATGCTTGGCACTCCTCCCAAATACAATTTTTTTTATTTTTTATTTACCGTGCCTAGGTGCAATCCTGTATAGGGAGCATTGGCGCGCGCAGCCTATTGCATTAGGGTGTGCACCCTAAAGCACAAACACAAGCCACATGTATGTATGTATATATATATACACACACACACACCCACACACACACTGCTGTTTGTTTGTGTGTATGTGTGTGCTGTTAGTGCGCTGTGTGAGGGTCCTGTGTGCAGGGCCGGACTGGCCCACCGGGATACCGGGAAATTTCCCGGTGGGCCGCGGCACCTGGGGGCCGGCCGCGTTCCTGGCTGGAGCCGCCGGGCCGGGTGGCAGCTTCCCCGGTCCGGCGGCACTCCACTCACTGCTGTGGCTGATGGAGGAGGAGCATGTCGCTGTACCATGCTCCCTCACAGTTCCCGGCACAGGAACCGCGAGGGAGCATGGTACAGAGACATGCTCCTCCTCCATCAGCCACAGCAGTAACAGGAGCAGGGCCGCCGGACCGGGGAAGC